GGTCCACAGAACTCTGGAGTGTGAATGACACAGAAAACAACAGGCTGAATGGTTTTTTGTTTAAACTTTTTTTTTTTTTTTTTTTTTTTTAAGATGACTGGTAAGGGGATCTTAACCCTTGACTTGGTGTTGTCAGCACCATGCTCTCCCAAGTGAGCTAACCGGCCATATCCTTATATAGGGATCCGAACCCATGGCCTTGGTGTTATCAGCACCACACTCTCCCAAGTGAGCCATGAGCCAGCCTCATATTTTCAAATTATAATTCTTCTTCGATTGGAGAACTCCAAAACTACATAAAATAATTCTCTTTTTTAAATGTATCTCTTTAAACTTCAAGCCTACCATCTAGCTCCAATATACCGGAACTTGATGAACAAATTCATGTTTGCCACCTACCATAGTCTTTGTTATTCTGCAAACTTCAATTATATTTTCCAGAAGCATTTTTTCCAGATTACAAGAGATATAATCTTTTTAGTACATTTTATAGGGAGACTCTGACTCACTGTCACCATCTCCAAAAACTTTTAGGCACCTTAACTGCTCTATATTAGATTTTCTCCAGCCATAGCTATGTCTTTTTCAAAGTGGAATTAACAGAATCATAATTTTGTAAAGTTTTCTTGCCACCAAATAAACTTAAAACTGTCTTGTCTTTTCAGACCCCAATGAGAATATCGGACTCATGTCTTCAACATCATTTTCCCGACAGTAACTAATGGCTTATAGTATTTCTTCTTTTCAGTACTGCTTACTGCTTAGTGGTTAAGACACTGGGTCCTAAAGCCAGATAGCCTCAGCTCAAAGCCCAGATTACAACTCAACTTATATGTGCCTTGTTTTCATCATTTAAAAAATGACAACAACAGTACGTATCTCACAGAATTATTGTTAGGTTTGAATGAGTTAGTACATACAAAAGCACTTATATCAATGCCAGACCCACAGTGAGCACAAATAAATGTTATTTTAATTATCACCACAATAATTTGAATTACTTTTCCCTAAATGCATTACTTTATGCTTAATACGTTGGAATTTACAAGTTATCTATATGCTCACTCACTCACAACCCTGTCCACATATCTTTCTTCAGTTACATCCATTGGCTTGACAGCTTACCCTTTGAGAATTGAGTGCCATTGCAAATTAAAAATTTAACTGATTCTCCTTCTAAGTCACTGATCCAAAAATGTTAAAAACAGCCATCCCCAGGGCCAATGTCTGGAAATCCCATTGTTTACACTTCTGCATTCAGCTTCCTGTCACTATGTCAATTTTTTTTTTCATTCTCTCATGAAGACTAGGATTTTTGTTTTGTTTACTTACATTTCCCAAACACCAAGAACCATGCTTGGCACATGGCAGGTACTCTGTAAGTAGCTGATAGAGGGAGGGACTTAAGACAATATGTTCTGGCGACCCAAATCCTTAAATAACCACAGAAACGGAACCTTATCAAAGACATTTTTTAACTCTAAAAAATTAGATCCACCATGTATACCATCTTCATATACTTATTTACTCTTTGAAGAGTTCTAGATTAGCCAGGTCATAGAGAAAATGTACAGAATTTCACTGATAACTTAGGTTTATCATTAACTTTTAAGTGTATATTGCTGTCCTTGGAATGAAATATAATTCTTCCCTTTGGAGATCCTCAAGGGCCTCAAACTCTTCTCCATGGTGAAAAGTCACACCGCAATATGACCACTGACATCCAAGTTCTGCAAATTAGGTGTGGACATCCCAGGCATTTACTACTATGAATACTACTGAAATTATTAGCTTTAAAGACAATTAAGCCATTTAAAGCTTTTTAAAGGTCCTCAGTAAAGATCAACACCAATCTATCACTTAGTCTCCTTTTCATCTAAGGGCCTTCTGCATATTAATTATGAAGTGACAGAGTTAACGCTTTAGTTTCTTTTCTCCTTTAATATATTATAAAACATTTCTAGATCTTTTCTGGCTAATTTCTAGTTTATACTACCTTCTACATTCTGTGCTTCGGAGTGAAGGGTAATGATGGAGTTTGGATGTGTTGTCCCCTCCAAAACTCATGTGGAAATTTGATCTCCAATGTGGCAGTGTTGGAAACTGACTGAGTCATGGGGGCGGATCCCTCATGAATGGATTAATGCTCTCCCTGGGGGAGGGGGGATTAGTGAGTGAGTTCTCACTCGTTAGTTCCCGCGAGAGCTTGTTGCTTAAAAAGACCCTGGCACCTTGCTTCCTCTCTCTTGCTTCCTCTTGCCATGTGATCTGCTTGTACCTGCCGGCTGCCTGCCACTTTCCGCCATGAGTAGAAGCAGCCTGAGGCCCGTGCCAGATGCAGCTGTCCCAGAATCGTAAGCCAAATAAACCTCTCTTCTTTATAAATTACCCAGTCTCAAGTATTCTGTTATAGCAACACAAAACGGACTAAAACAGGTAACTTATTAAAGAAGAAGCCTATACTATAATATCCAAGAACTGCAGCTACGCCTCATGAAAGACTAGAACCAGGAAATGGAAAGCCATTAGGAGCCTAGGCAGTTGCTGTCAGCTCTATCTCTTGGGAGCTACTTGGTTTCTCTCTATCTGCTTTGTACTTCTTTCGCTTTCTGTAGACCAGATTTCACTCTTCAGTATATATACACACAGCCAAATGTGGTTGCTCTAGTTCAAGAGAGCAGTGAGAATCTCTACAACACTTTTTGAATAATCATATTTCCCCTATGGTTTTGGCTTTCTAACAGTGCATACAGGATTCCTACTCCAATCCTAATCTTTTTGATCTTGACATAAAATTAACTTGTAATCCAATAAAATCTTTTAAAATAAAGTTTCATGTTACCTGGAATTCACCCATTACATAAATGACACCTAATCCATCAGGGTAGAGAAAGAGAGAGGGGAGAAAGGAGAAGAGAAAGGGGAGGGGCTAGCCAAGAAACCTAACTTTGCAATCATAAAAGTTCTGATTTACAAAGAGAAATAATGGGGGAAACAACACCTCTTAAGAGATAGAATTTTTAAAAAATGCATGCTAGAATTTATGTTCTAAAATAGTACTTAAAGATGTGTTAAATACAGCTAAAAAGACAAAGAATTTATGACTGGACGGGTCCTTAAAGAGTCTCTGGCCTCCTCAGCCATTTGATAGCTGATAGGTTAAATAACCTGCCAGCTAGTAAGGTTCAGTGCCCGAATCTGACTTACTTCAGTACTCCTGAACCAGTAACCTCCTCTATCACGCGAGAAAACATCCCATTCCTGGAGCACTAATTCTTAAAAAGATGGTGGCCTTACCGAGGGGCATTATGGAGAGGTATTTGCCTCGAAACTTGCTGGTGATTTTGATTTCCTGACGCAATGTCCAGCCATTTTTGGACTCGGCATGGTGTGCAGCAGCAGGGGGATGATGACTCACCTTGAAGAAATGAGGTTCAAATTAAGAAGGCAGAAAGGAGAATGAAAAGATACTGCCTATTAACTGGTGATAAACAACCAAAATTCACACGACATTTTTACACCCACACAGGAGGTGAATACCAAGGCCTCCAGTGTTGAAGTCTTGAAGGAAAAGAAAGCAGGCTGGGATGATAGGGACTCGAATTTCCACAAACACAATACCCACATGGATCAAACGAAAAAAGCATCCCTTTCTTCAGAAAGAATATTTGTTATGGTCCTGAGGCTCCTTTACCTGTTCGCAGAGGGATCGGTACCCATTCTCCTCTAATCGGTCCAGCTCGAAGGTCTCCCCAAGGAGTGGGTTGAATGGCTTGCTGGTACGGAAGACAGTAGTGGAGTAGGAGGAGACAGTGAAAGCTGCAACATAACAGAGCTGTTCTAGAGAGTTCTCACATTTTGCAGCTCTGTCTAACAGCTCATGGTATTCTAGATCTTCAGTAAGGCGCTGAAGCATGGACAAGGGCTCATTAAAGTTTACCTGTAACGAAAAGAACAGGTAAAAAACTTTGCCAACACATGTATAAGAGACAGTTTAATTTTTTTTTTTTTCGGTAGAGAAACAAATAATGAGGTGTCAAGGTAATAAAGCAAATCACTGGGAGGAGAAAAGAGGCCTTTGCTCAGTAAAGCAGCTCTAAGATTTAATCTGTAAGCAACCCATTCTCTTTGGTCAACTATTCATATCAGTGAGTGTAGAAATCACTGTTTTCATTTATTTCACTAACTGTAAGCTCTTTGAGATGGAAACTATGCCTCTTCTATTCAGCACTATATACCCAAAAGCCATCAGTGCCTGGCCCATAGGAGATCATCATCAAACAAGTGTTGAATGAATGAATGAATGAAAAAAAAGAAATGTACTATATTTTAGCACAAGTATACTCAGAGAGGAAATTAGGTATTTAAAAATCTTGGGGGAAGAAAGAAAGGGTCGTAAATCATAAGTACAAGTGTGTCCTGACTAGTGAAAAGACTGCATTACAAAAGTTAGCTTCCACCCTGGACTAGACAACTGCTAAGCTTTGAATCAGTTCTGCATCAGGCCAGAATTCTGATTTCTTCTCTGAGGCTGGGCAGTTGTGTTTCTGGACATGGAGCACTCATGATGGAGACTGAGAGGGAACTGTGCATGATCTCACCTTTCAGGTTTTAAAGCCAAGTTAGGGAACTCAACCAACGGATGGAGCAAGTATGTGTGGGAAGGGTGGGGGTAGGGCTTCTGTTGAGGAAGAAAATGTTCATTCACTCATTTATTCACTTATTCATTCCACAAATATTTATTGAGTTCTCGTGTACCAGACCCTATGCTATCCAATGGGTGTAGAGAAGTGAACAAAAGAGACATTGATCATGCACCTCACTCCAAAAAGTTAGCTTCTAAATTAACTTTTTGGAATTTTAAGTGACTTTGCTACTAAAAAACTTGCTATAAATAGAAGTTAGTGTGCCACACTACAAAACCATCTTCTTGACAGTGAGAGACAAGCTGTATGACAGGACAAACGCACACTGAGGGGCGACAGACTATGATAAAACCCTAATTCTGAAAAGTCTTTTTTCAAAGAGGATGTTTATTAACTACGCCAACAAAATCTCTCAGTGACAGAATTTCAGGCAACATGAAATAACATTTCCACACATTTTGAGGAAGACTGGGGATGGGTGGCACGCTTCACTGGTAGCTATGGGATGTATCATCAGTGCCTAGGACTAGAATCAACACAGCCTTCAACTATCACTGCTTGTCACACACACAGCCCTGCCCCCAACAGCTGTTCCAGGAACCACATTTTCTCTAAAAGTACCAAGCTTTTTATAATGGTCATTTTATCACTCAGAGGCCAAACAGGGAAACAAATGAATCTGAATATTTAAAGTGGAAGGAAGCAGGGAATTAGGTATACAGCCGATGGAGAGTTGGGAAGCCAAAAAAGACAACCCAGAGATTAGCAACAGCAAGAAGTCATAACCACTGGTAGACTGGAGGGACAAAGAGAAGCAGTGGTATTACTGCAGCCCAGAGGCTGGAGGGATCTGGCAGAAGCTAAAACCTCTAGAGTAGAGGAGCCTCCAGAGGCCCTCAAGCATTTTAATCAAGGTCTGGGGAAAAGGCCAGGGCTGGATTAAGCCAAGTTTTGTCTGTGGGGAGTCACATGGTCCAAAGCTATGTGTGAGTGTAGCCAAATAAATGTTTCCTTGAGGACAATGGTTAGAACAACAGGTCTTTGCAGTCACAGAACTGGACGGGGGCTCCGTTCACACATCTGTTCCTGGGACAGGAGTCCTTCCGGTGCCTCAGAGGCATGGCATCTTTCAGCTAAGTTGAACAAATTAGCTGCATCCATTAATGACATCCCACTTTTGACAGTAGTGATGCATGGAACCAAATTGTGGGCAGACACCTGGCGGCGTCCATCTCCCAGAGGAGGAGCCAACAGGGGGCTGGCCTTGGAATTCTGAGGACTCATAACAGAAAATCTCAGGAGTCAGTCAAGCCCAGCATGAGCCTTGAGCCCCATCTTAAACATTTTCAAAAGTAAACTGCAATTGAAAATGTTAAAGGTAAGGTAGAAAGTCAACTGCAATTGAAAAGGTAAAGTAGAAAGGGACAGAGGTGTATTCTACTGATCAGGCCCCAAACACTCACCAAGATCTAATGTGTACTGGTCTTAGCGCCAGGCCTAGGGGTTCAGAGACAAACTACACATGGTTCCTGCCCTCAAAGAGCTTCCAGTTTGCTAGAGAAAACAAAAATGATGATGACAATGATGATGATGATATGGTGATAAAGGCTGACACTTATGAATGCTTACCATGTAGAAGGCATTGTACTACGCACTTCAAATGCATCGTCTCATCCTTATAAATAGCAAATAAAATAAATGAGTACCTACTATGGGCACTGGCCTTGGCACTTTGGATGCATTATTCTTTAATCTTTTTTTTTTTTTTTTAACAAAAATCCTACATACTCATATATAAACCTGTTTGTTTTCTAAGACCCAGTTAATTAATTACTTCAGTTATTGAATGATCTATATGTGCCTGGCACTCGGCTAAGTATCAAGAATATAAAGATCAATAAGACATAGTCCCTGCCCAAGAGGAACACGGTCTATGGAGAGGCAGAAACCACACACTGGTCCAGAAACCTCAAGAGAATGCTTTCTGTATTTCTGAATGACAAGTATCTGGCTGTACAAAACCTACAGCCACCCACCCACTATTCATTCTTCTCTTCTTCTGCAATGAGTTAGATTCCCCAATATTCAAGTAGACCATGCCACCCAGAATAGAAGTCGTCATTTCCAGCCTTTTCTCCAGCTAGCTATGGCCATGTAACTAAGTTCTGGCCTCAGAGATTTCAGTGAAAATGGTTTATGCAATTTCCAGGAAGCATCCTTAAAAGGTAGAGCCTACTCAACTTCATTTTTCATCTTCCACCTGGCTGGAATGAGACCCTGATGGTTTAAGCTGGAGCAGCCACTTCGGACCTAGCAACCGAGGCAGCAGAAAAACAGGATAGAAAGAAGTCTAGTCCTGACACTGAGGGGCATGGTACCAGCTCTAGACCACCTACTTCTGGACTTTAACACAAGCATGAGTTAAGCCAATATTTGTTTAAGGCAGGGTTGCTAGTTTTTTCTATAAAGAGCTAGATAATAAATATTTACACTTTGAGGGACATATGGTCTCTGTTACAACCATTCAGCGCTGCTGTTGTAGGATGAAAGCATCCATAAACAATACGTAAGTGAATCAATATCACTGTGTTCCAATACAAATTTATGAACATTAACATCTGAATTTCATATTAATTTTCACATGGCACAAACCATTATCTTCCTTTAGATTTTATATAACCATTTAAAAATATAGACTTCCAGTCAAGATGGCAGAATAGATGGTCCCCAGCATCACTCTCTCCCACAAATCAAACCAATATAAAACAATAAAAAAGCAACAATAGCCAAGCTGGGGCCGCTAGAGCTCAGGGGAAGAGTAGGAGAGACCTATGGAGTGCATGAAGTGGAAAGAGCCATGATGAGAGAAAGAAAAAACTGCTCCAACCGTTTCCAATCCTGGCTGCTTCCAGGCTGGAGCTGCTGAGTGCATGGAGCAGGAGCCAGCAAAAGCCACAGCTGTGCCCTTTGGATGAAGTTGCTTGGAGACAGCATGGGAGAAGAGGGCCTTGGTGGCCCCCAGGCCAACAAGACCACTAATAGGGTTCCCATGGACCCACACAGGAGCAAGGAGCCAGAACAACAGAAAAAAAGGAGCCACTCAGATGTCAGTGAGTCATCACAAAGGACGGGAGCACAGCCCCGTCCATGGGAAGTGTCTGCAGCACAGGCAGTCGGGGAGATGGGCCCACTGGGGGAACACTAGGGCACAGCAAGGACAGCTGATCTGTCCCCCAATCAGCACAGGACCACTCAGAGGAGACTGGTCAGGAATATAGAATTGCATGGGGTGCAGTTTCATGAAAAGACTCAGGCCCAGACCAGAGTTACTACTCAACCCAGGTGCACCAGATCTCACGAGAGCCAGAAGTACCTATAAAGTCAACCCTTAAATCCTGAGCTGCACAAAAAGCCTTTCTTAGGGAACCAGCAGCAAAGCAGCAATTTAGCTCAACCACAGAGCTCAAGTGCTGGAGGAAGTTCCCCCATTTTAGAAGTAAGCAAAGGACAAAAAAGTTAGTTCCAGCACAGAGTTTAAGTGGTGGGAACAGCAAATAATCCAACACAGATCTGAAATAAAAAAACAAAGTACCTACAACCAGAGACAAAGTTTGATAACTAGTAAAGGTCTCCCAAAGAACACCTAGAAGGACTGGACATCACCTTGGCTACCAAGACAGAAATGGAGGAGGGCTGGAGACCTCAGCTATGCCCCGCCAACACCCGCAACCACCCCAGCTATGACCACTGAGCCACAGCAAGAAAGGCCCTGAGTTCCCGAGCTGAGGTGTTGGGGGTCAAGGGCTTTTGCGACACATCCACGACATCTGCACCCAGTCCGGCAATAACCAAGCCACCACTAGAAGCCCCGTGGTCCCCCCTGTGGGAATGAGAGGGGTGCCATGGGCCTTAATCCCACCCCTCCTCCGTCCTCCTTTTTCCATCCTATGTTCTTCCCCTTTCCCCTCTCCCCCTCCCTCCCAACTGCTCTGCAACATCATAGAATGTAAAAAAATAACAATATTAATAAAAAATTTTTAAAAACTACTGTGCTAAAATTGTGCTTTTAAAAGGCTATATAAAAACTGATTACGGGGGGGCGGGGGGAGCAGCATTGAAAAAATAGTCCAGAATATCAGTGTAAAACTTATGTGAAAGACAATGAAAAATTTTTAAAAACTACTGTGCTAAAATTGTGCTTTTAAAAGGCTATATAAAAACTGATTGCGGGGGGGCGGGGGGAGCAGCATTGACAAAATAGTCCAGAATATCAGTGTAAAACTTATGTGAAAGACAATTATACATCATTTCTAATTTGGAATAAAGTTTAATGCACTAAAAAAAAAAAAACAAAAAAAAAAAAAACAAGCTACACTACAAAAAAAAAAATTCTTAGCTTGCAGGCTGCATAGATGGTATAGCTGGTAGCCAAATTTGGCCTAACAGCCTTAGTTTGCTGACCCCTGGGTTAAACCAATATATTTTGGATTTGTTTCTTTAAATTGAACATATACCTATCTGATACACTGGCATAACACAAAGTGAATAGTAGGCACTCAGTAAATGCTTGTGGAATGAACAATCAAGTGATACACACTGCCCAGACAAAACAGCGGAACTTGTTGGAGCACAGAGGAGGGACGTCTCATCCTGACTGGATGCACTGGAGACAGTTTGCTGAAAGAGACAACACTACAGCTGAATCCTGCAAAAGGGGGTATTAGCCACAGCCAAAGAAAAGCGGCAAGGATTCATAAAGAATGGATGAAAGCCAAGGCAGAAAGAGTAATGTGTGCAAATGCCCTGAGGGAAAAGACAAGCTGCCCCTGAATACCTGAAGACAATTCTAATGACTAGAACAGTGCATGTGTATGAAGAAGGCTTGCCCAGGGGGAGGCAAGATTTCTTGCCCACTAAAGAATCTGGACTATGCTCAAAGCAATGAAGATCCAGTAAAGGATTTTAAGCTGAGGAGTGACATGACTACATTCGCAATTTTTAAAAGATCATTTTGGCAATAGAGTGGACAGATTGGAGAAAAGCATGACTAGAGGCAGGGAGGTCAGCCCAAATGCTATCTTCACCATGGAGATGGTCCTCAACTTCCTGGCTGGAAAGAATTGTTTTTGTTTCCATGCTCCTTAAACCTTTATATCTATAGTACTTTCCATGTCACTATAATAGAAAACATTTTCTACCTGTTTTCATGTCTGTCTCTTTTAACCTACATGTTTCTTAAAAACAGAAACTATATTTATCTTTGCATGCCCCCAGTACATCTAGCATAGGAATTTGCTCATAAATAACTGTTATTGAACATATGCACCTGACTCTAGGTGATCTGGGAATATAGCAGATCCACAGACAAAATTAAAGCAGCTAATTTTAAAGGATAGTTTGTGACTAAAAGGGTAACAAAGACCATGCCACAAACTGCCACACAAGTGGGTGGAGCTGTCACATTGGTACTCTTCCCACTGAGACTGAGAGGACCTCCTGGCAGCAGCCCAGGTGTGCAAAAACCTCACCGGCATGGGGATCTTAGAGAGTTCTTTCCCAATACAGTTCTTCATGATGCTCCATAAATTGAGGCTATAGTTCGGTTTATATGGTATTCTGGTTCTCTTTTCCTTCTTGGTCTCCTCTAGCTGATGCTTGTACTGAGAGCAAAAACAAAGCCATTCAATCACCCACAAAAACCAGAAAACTGGGTATTTATAACCTTCCCTTCCCCCATGCCAAAAAAAAAAAAATCAATATTTTCTATTTCTCTTAGCACTTCACAAACCAATCTCTGGGAACCATACCCCAAATCCCTCACCTCTGATAACTCCCATCTATTTTCTTTTTTTTATTATAACATAGTTGATTGTACATATCTGTGGAATACAGAGTTGAATATCAATACATGCATGCAATATGAGATGCTTAAATCAGCATAATTAGTATATTCGACAATATACAATGTAATTGTTTTTCGTGGCCCTTTAACAATTCCTCCCTTACCTACCCCTCTTCCCCACCTCTTGTAACCTCAGTTCTGTTCACTCCTTTTGAAAACTCAACATATTATTGTGATTGTTGTATTTTTCTTCCTTTCTTTTTACTTATTTGTTTATTTCCTAGCTCCCACTTATGACTGAGGACATGCGTTATTTCTCTCTCTGTGCCTGGCTTATTCCATTTAACATAATTTTCACTTAATGTAAGAGTTACCTGTTCATCCAGGCTGATGTCACTGCTGGCTCCGCTGATATTGCTACCAGTACGCCTGCATAGATGAGACATGATGGAGAATTAGAACAAAGACCAGAACTAGAGTTTGGTCCTCAATATTTCCTTACAAAGCAGAATGCCAAATACTCGGTACAAACTTACTGATAGATGATTAAATGACAACACTTAGAATAGAATAGGTACAAATTTAAATATCCCTGAAGAACTTGTTCATGTAAAAAAGCTGACAGTTCTCCACTTAAAGAGTCCAGATCTTAGTAAATATCAACAACTAATATACTCCCACTAAGACCTTTCCAACCTTTTTATGGCCAGATGTGTTCATTTTCTTCAACAATAAGGATAACTTACTTGTGGCCCAAATTTTCAGGCATGGTGATGATCTCAGGAGCATCAAAAAATTCATTCTCATCATCTTCATCACTCATGTCCCCTTTGCCAGAGCAGCACTGATCTACAAGGAGAAATGTCCCATTTGTTTATTTTGGTTATATTTACCAAACACCTGAAACAACAGGTTCTTTTAAATACTAACCACAAACATAGCAACAAACATAGAAAAGCCAGAATAAACAAACAGCTCCAATTCCACTTCACATGAGCCACTGATTGGGGCAAATCTGGAGTTCTTCTATCAATTGCAGAAAACCACCTGGCTCACATCAGAACGGGCTACCTAAGAACTAAGCCTCTTACCTTTAACAGAACTTGCACTGCCAGGAGTGTTTGCTGGTAGCACTGTGGCTCCTCGGAAGGCCCTCTCCAGGTGATTATGCTGCTTTGCCAGCTGCTCAAGGGTCTCTTCCAGTCGGATACGCTGGTCTCTTTCATACTGTAGTGACTTCTGCCATTTTTTACTGTGGGTCTGGGCTAACATGAGGAAATCTCTGCAGGCCTATATAGAGAAAGTGTTGATTGTGTCACTTTAGCTGGTCAGAGATTCCCCTCAGGCCTCTCTAAACCCATTAAGTAACCTTATTCTGGGAACTTAAGCTGACAAATTACAATGAAAGATTTTCCCTGTTATTCCACAGTATCAGGAACAGCTAGCTCTGTGCTGCAATCAAGGTCAAACCCAGAAAAAAGTGAACACGGTTTACACGGTTCTTTTATATTTTCCTGGTCATAAGGACGAAACCAATGCCAAGTGAGAGGTAAACCTAGACAAAGTATTTGTGACAATGTCACAAAGGGCAGGTATGTGAACTGCCCACCCCTCCCCCCAAAAAAAGATCTACTGACTGAAAGAAAGATGAGAAATGCACAGGATAACTGCTTTCAAAAACTCTTTTTTTTTCCCAGCAGCTGGCTGGTATGGGAATCTGAGCCCTTGACCTTGGTGTTACAGCACCGTGCTCTAACAAACTGAGCTAACCGACCAGTCTTTTCAATAAATTCTTGACTAAACTCAAGTAACCTAAAGCTGAGGAACTCAGACACTGAGAAAAGAGAATCTGCCGTGAATTAGACCAAATATGAGGAAACTTATACTTTGCTTTTATTTTGGTCACTAAGAGAAACAACAGAGCTTAAAAATTAGAAGCCGTAGAGCATGGTGCTGTAACACCAAGGCCAAGGGTTTGGATCCCTATACCAGCCAGCCACCAAAAAAATTTAAAAAGTAAAAAAATAGAAGCCTACTTGAGAAATTAAAGAAGGCATCTAGAAAAAAACCAGACATCTGGTCATATCATTCCCTGCTCTTGCTCCTCACTAAGATCAGGACCAAATCCTAACTACTGATTATGAACATAAAGGGCCCTTCACAGTATGGCCACCAGCTGCCAGTGTATCCTCCTATCCATGCAGGTGTTCTTACCTATGCACACTACAATGGAGCCACACTGAACTGCTCACCATTTCTTGGACACACAGATTTCTTTCCAGCCTGCTTAACTCAGCATATGCTACGCACTCAGCCAAAAATGCCTTCCCTATCCTCAAAGAAAGGGGAAATCTTCCTCATTCTTTAAGATGTATGGCAAATGTTACTTCTCCCATGCCACCTTCCCCTAGTCTCATAAGCAGCCAGTCTCTTCTCTACATTTCCATAGCACTTTGCACATACTTCTTCTATTTTACACATGCACAGCAGTATCCTGACTGATTTGCTCTGTCTTGATGGATCATGAACAACTTAAAGACACATTTTATAGCTTATTCATATACAGATCTCCAGCTCCTTAGTTGCTTTGTACATGGTAGGAACCTGATATAGTTTGCTTAATGAACAAATGAAGGAAGGAGGCAATGTAAACTTAAAAGTCCATCCTGTTACAGAGAAACGAAAAGGTAAATAACGTCTCTACTCCCATAGTTTCCCCTACTGACTATAGGCTAATGGCTACTAAATCAGTAATTCCAGACCAGCGCTCACCGAGTTTGGTTTATTTTTTTGGTGGCTAGCCAGAAAACTCACTGAGTTTTAGAACAGAATATCCAACTGCTATTCAACGGCTCAAAGCAACCTCAAAATCAGTGGATCCCAAACTGAACTCACCATGCTCCCTTGTTGACTTTGCTTCTCCCTTTGATATTTCCTATCCCAAGAACTGGTCCAGAGTCCTCCCAGCTTCCCAAGCCAGAGCCTAAAGGGCATCCTTCTCTTAGTTTTGTTTCCTTCCTCACATTCAATCATCAAGACTTATTGATTCCTCTTTCATAATTTTGGAATTGAGGGCTGGTCAGTTAGCTCAGTTACTGGCCAGCTGCCAAAAAATAAAAAATAATAATTTTGTAATCTATACACTTCTTCTATCCTCCACACTCAGAGGCAGTACAGGATACACATTTTGGAGGTGAACTATTGGGGCACAAAAATCACAGCTCCATCCTACTACCTAGCTGTGGAATTTGGCGCAAGTTATTTAACCTCTCTGTGCCTCATTTTCCTTATCTGTAAACAAAGCATAACAATAATAACTACCTCAAAGAGTTGTTGCTTTACATATAAAGCACTTAGAACCATATCAGGCTCACAGTAAGCATTCAGTGAGGTATTAGCTATTATAAATATGCCTGCATCAAAACTATCATAACAATAATAACTACCTCAAAGAGTTGTTGCTTTACATATAAAGCACTTAGAACCATATTAGGCTCACAGTAAGCATTCAGTGAGGTATTAGCTATTATAAATATGCCTGCATCAAAACTACTCTCATCATCTTCTAATCGACTACTACCAAGTCCTATTTAGAATCTTCACCACCTCCGTTTCCCGACACTTAACTCCTCTCCAGCCTCATCTCTAGCAACTTCCTTGCTCTACTATTAGTCCATTTCCAGTAGTTCCCAGACTTTGGGAGGGAGGGATCTACAATGCCACAACACTACCCAGATCAACTCTTCTCCCTCACTCCCTTTTAATAATAGTGACTATAATTAAAATTTAGTGAGAGACAATTAAATGTCAGGCACTTTGCTGGTCACTTTACATCAATTAGTTAATAAAAAGCCTTTCAACAACCCGATGAAGAGTCTATTTACAGATAAGGAATTGAGGTGGAACCAGATTATACAGATAGGTAAGAGGATGTAGGTTGCCCCAGGTTATACAGATGGGAATGAAGATAGAGGTTAGCACAAGTTATGCAGATAGGTCACAAGACTGTTGGACTCCAGGCCCCAAGGTCTACATTCCCTTTCTTTATAGACTCTCACTACTCCTTCAGAATTGAGTTAAGGTATTACTTTCTCCAGTTCTCCTAGTTTAGGCTAAACACTTCCAGTGTGGTATAGCCGCCTGTGCTCACTTCTGTCATGGACACTTAAAACTTGAGAAAGAATAATTTCCCCAAGGAATAAATATGAGTACATTTACAAGAGAAAAGTCCAAACTAAAGTTTCGGTTTTATTAAGGGGTATTTTATTTAGCAAAATTTTCACATCAGAGGAGGAAAAAAAATTTGTCATGGAGTGAGGTGTTCACTCGACATAGACAAAAGGCAATATTCACTCTGAGGAAACTGTTGTATCCTGAGTTGTTCTGTTTTAAAAGGAAACATATTTATTATTGATTTATTGACCATATAATTTATGACGAGACAAAAGGCAATATTCACTCTGAGGAAACTGTTGTATCCTGAGTTGTTCTGTTTTAAAAGTAAACATATTTATTATTGATTTATTGACCATATAATTTATGACGTTTTCCTGGTCACAAGGGGACCAGAAAAATAGGCACACAGTCACTAAGAAGTACAACAGTTTGGAAAAAGATCACAGGCCTAGACACCAGAAACATAAGTATAAGAACTGATTTGCTGAATAGTCCTAGAAGATAGGTAATCTTCCTGCAATCCCTAAGAAAATAATTTGTCTTCTTTCCACCTTTTGTGAATCAGAGCACCAAAAAAGTGTTCAACACTTCAGAAAATGATGTGGAAATAAAGGTTATCTTTATCTCAACTTTCTATTAAGTAACAAAGGGGGTTAAATGAGAAAAACTAAATTATCTCTTGGTCACAGGAAAATGTCTTTGATTTTTAGGAGCCACATGAACTAAACTAATTTTAAACAGATGTCTTACTATCTCTCCCTAAACAAGGGAAAATCTGACACTAGTGAGGTAATTTTGTCTCATTTAATTAAACAGAAAAAAAACCAAACAAACAAACAAAAAAAAAACCCAAGCTGCATAAACTCTTTCTCACAGAGTACTCTTCTCACTTAAGAAATGTTTTCATCAGATCTCCATACTGGCCAGCCACCAAGGACAAAAAAAGTCTTCAAGTGTTTTTATGTGGAAAGTAACTAAAACAACCTGCCAGGTGAGAACCAGTTACCAGTAGAGGAAAAACAGCATTGTTTAAACCATGTATTCATTTCATATTTATCAACAGATCACTAATGCCGGTGGTGCTTTGTGTTTACCTAGAGCCATGCCCCAAGCAGCTAAAATGTTCCACGAACCAACAATAGCCATCTGAGGTAGGAATCACAGGAAGCAAAAAACATTAGCCAAGTACCTAAAATCGAATATTTTGTCTTATCAACAGAATTACCCCTAAAATCAAGAACTAAAGATGGGACTATCTAGTATAAGGTTCTCACTTGTACACCACCCTATATACCAGAATATATTTGAAAAGTAGCAATACTACTCCAACTTAAAGCTCAAAGAACATGACAATGAAAAAGACCTATGGAGATCTTTTAGTTATAACAGATTGAGTTAAAAATAAATAAATAAGTAAAACCACAACCCAGAGAGGTTAAGGGACTCAACTAATATTACCATCAGATGTCCTACTGGTTGCAGAACAAGGCTGGAACTTTGGGCTCCTATCTCCCAGGCTGAAGCAATGTCCTAACCACTTGAGCAGAGCATGAAAGTCATTCCATCTGTGCAGGCTGTTCTATTTCATGTAATAAACAATGTAAGTTAAAGCCCTTGAACAGTGAGGCAGGACCTAATGTTCTGTGCTTTATCAATTACAATTTTCAGGCATTTGAGAAGAATTATGTTTCAAAGAGGGAGAGAAACTAAAAGCAACAAAGACACTATCCTCACTCACGTTGATCATGGCATTGGATGTTATCCTAAAGAGCGTGGCTCGTTCGTTGACCTGTTTGATCTTTTCGTTGCTCTCAGCAGGCAACTTCAGGGACTCCAACTCACTGAGGGAACGCTGCAGAGCTGTGCCGTGCTTAGCTATCAAGTCATTGCAAGTGCTCAAGTCCTCTACTTTGCTAGACAGGGTCCGAAGAGTATTCTGCAGCTCAGTCTTGTCAGTTTGTGAGACAGACTCTTCATCTCCTGATTCATCTGTAGGGATAAAAAGGTAACTTACAGACTCCAACAACAGGACTGGGAGTTGGAACCCTACCTACTCTGTCTACAACCAAACCGACACTTCTCATGCTGTGCATTCTGACCAAAGGTTTGCCTTTACCAGACAATTTCTGTACAGTATCATCCACAGACAACCTGTACCACAAACACCTGGGGTGCTTCTTCAAAGTACAGAGTCTCTGGCCCCAACCCCAGAGACTTTGATTCAGCTAGTATGAGGCAAAGCCCAGAAATGTGCATTTCTAATAAGCTACCCAGGTAATTATGATGCATACTGAAGTTTGAGAACCACTGACCTAGAGGACAGTAAGGAGAATCTGAATGGTTCCTGGAATTGGAAATGAACTCTAGCTTGAGGGTTCCCATCTAGTCCAAGCTAATTATTATTGCAAATCCACTATCATCTGTTGGTTGATCAGCAGGCCCTGTATGAAATGAATTAAGAATCGCAGTCTAGCTCTTTGTAGACAAAGTTCACGTCACTAACAGCCCTACTGATTGACCTTTTCTGAAGGAGAGCTCAGGAACTTCATGATAAACTCATCTGACATTAAAGCCACCATGAAAGCAATGCAAGATCTTATATTAAATAGTAATAAGTAGAGAAGCTATGCTGTACCTCTCCTTATCAGTTTTATACTTAACCCTTCGTAACTGCAAAGTGCTTTTCTAACAGTGTCACTTCCTTTGGGAGAGCTAACATCAGCACTAAACTCAATGTAACTTCAAGCCCTTGAACAGTGAGGCAGGACCTAATGTCCTGTGCTCAAAACAAAAGAAATAAGGAAAGATCTACCCTATCTGCTAGACAGAGAAGGCAGGACCAAAGTTAAAATATAACCTGTTACCAAAAAATTTACAAAGTGGTAAATTTTCCTTTCACTGCTTAGTAGATATTGAATACAGTACAAGAAATGACAGAGAATGAGATAAACAACAACAAAAAACCCTCAGCAGGGCCGACCCCGTGGTTCACTCGGGAGAGTGTGGCACTTGGGAGTGCAGCAGCGCCCCCCGCCACGGGTTCGGATCCTATATAGGGATGACTGGTGCGCTCACTGGCTAAGCGCGGTGTGGGCAACACCACGCCAAGGGTTGCGATCCCCTTACCGGTCACAAAAAAAAGACAAAAAAAAAAACTCAGCAGGTGACTATCTTGGTCAGCTCTAAGTGAACAAGCTCAGTATAATTAAATAATATCAATATCTCAAAAGGAAATCCTACCATTTTCCTTGAGAAAAAATCAAATCATGGGCCGGCCCATGGCTCACTCGGGAGAGTGCGGTGCTGATAACACCAAGGCCCCG